CTCTTATCGAAAGCTTGTTAAAATATGTTGAAAAACGTTACGAATTTTGTTCTAAGCCGATTCACTTTGCAGCCAATCTTCTTGATGCTCGCTTTAAAGGAGAACAATTGAATGAAGACCAACTAATGGAAGCAATAGACTTCATTTCTAAAATGGCTCGTTCACTAAATCTAGATGTAGGGAAGGTGGTGGCAAATCTGGCCCAATTTAGAACAAAAACTGGATTTTTTAGTCGAAATTCTTTATGGGCTAGTGCGAATAGTACTCATCCCGTTAAATGGTGGCAAGGCTTGTGTAAATCGCAGCCAGTTATGCCAATTGCCTCCCGAATTTTAAATGGACCGCCATCTTCCGCCTCTTCAGAAAGAAACTGGTCTTTACACGGCCTCATACATACAAACAAAAGAATTAGATTATCACAGGATAAAATTCAGAAGCTGGTTGCTGTTCATTCTAATTTGGTTATAAACGAAAAACAGACATTCATTTACGATGCTAGACCAGTTCCACTTTTAGAAGATACTGGCAAAGATTATGCTGTTTTGTCCGTCCATGAAGACGAAGCGGAGATCGAGTCTGAATCAGATGCTCGGTGTGAAGATTCAAACTCAGACTCAGATGAAAATATACCTCTGAGCTCTTTGGTTAAATAATGTGTTTTCTACCTTTGAAGCTTTGTTTTTGATACTTTCAATTATTAGATAATAATTATAATTTGACCCTATATACATGTATGTATTTATATCTTAGATATTATTAAAGTATGTTTTTTGTATTTATTTTTACAAAATATGTTTAAAAAAGTTTAAAATTGGTACCTTTTTTTACGTTTCAAGTCACAATTAAAAAATATTTAAATTTTCCCATTTTTTCCAATTTTTCCCATGGTCTGGAAAAAACGGAAAAAACGTGTTTTTTTTTCTAATTTTTCCGATATGTTAAATCTCTAGTCCGGAGATTGGTAACCCACGTTCTGGATTCTGTGTAAACTACATATACATATATTATAAAGCATCATCCACTTTTTGATATTCTCCTTTTTCATATTTTAGCACTTTTAAATTTTCTCGCGTTGTTTTTGCCATTCTGAAATGGTACTCACGCCCACAGCCAAATCACTTGCCACGTTTTTATGCAAATCACCTCTATCTAAACGTCTGATTGCCTCAAGTTTCTGTTCTATGGTAATAAGAACGCGTTTACGTTTATTTCGGATCATGCGCCGATTTTTGGAACAACTTAAAACGAAGAAATTATTGTATGCGAACTGTTTCGGATAATCGCGATTCGGATAATCGGAGTTCTACCGTATTTCATTTTTTCACAATTACAATTTTAATGTAACATCGTTCAAGTTACCTCTGGAAGCTGCAGAGAAGATTGTCTTCAGAATATTAAAAGCAGAAAGATTAGGATGTAGGCTTATTTTTTATTTTTGTTGGATGCCTGAAATGTCGATATATAGGAATTTTTGCTGCGACGCTTGGTCAATGAGTCTTATCAACCCAAATAGGTTTATTTAAGTCAATGTCACTGAAATATTACGAATACAAAAAGCGAACATCTGGGTCTCGATTTCAGTCGACTTAGGCATAAACTGAAATCCCTGAATGATATGATAAGAGGCGCCTGAGCATCAAAAGACAAATTCACGTGTGTCAACATCAGGAATTAACATATTTGTGTCAATATGTGCCGACGCATTTTTTCCCAACTCCTTATCACGCCATAATGTTGAAGAGAACAGGAAGCAGTAATATTTCAAATCAACAGGAAATTGTTTAATAACGATATTTGTTACAAATATAGCCGATCAATTTTTTTATTAATGAAGTTGTGATAAGAATGGTTGCCGGCTGGTTAGAGGACAGAATGTAAGCATTGGCGTACGTAGATTGTGTTTTGTATTCTGTCATTGATTGATATTTATTACAAGAAGATGTCCAATTACGAAATTGTCTGTAGTCTAAATTTCTAAATAAGATTTAGCATGTGGTACTACTATGTAGGTTACTATGACTGATGACTTTCTTTAATATCAATCTTTAGTAAGCCTCTCAACACAAGAATTTTGATGTGCAGCGGAGAAGCACTTTATCAGCCCAATTTACGATTATATCTACATATATCAGGAAGACTAGAGATATGAGGTTAAAATCATAGACCTGGTGTTGACGATGAAGTAGGTTAGTACACTGCAGAGCAATTGAATTTCAGGTGTTGGGTATATCGCATCTTTCTCGTATGTATACTGTGCAGAAATTAAATTTCAGGTGATACTTTTTACATTTTTCACGTGCTTATGTGTAAGCGTGCAGACACTGTACGCACATTAGATTCCCGAGGGCCAAGCCCTTCTTAGCGGCAGTCTTGGCTTCATACCAATACACCCTATTTCACGAGTATCCAGGCACAATGACAGCTAGTTATCTAGTAATATTTCAAAATTCCCCATATCGTCACAGGACACATAATTAATTCCGAGGGATCGGTGAACTCCAGGTAGACAGATCCGTATTTTGTTGTGTGTACACTCCAAAGGCGTGTTATTGAAAATCGTCAGCCATTCATTATACATCTGGTTGGGTCTGATGAGGATAGTGCAGATAGTTGTTTTAGTGACTAGCGTAGTGGGATTGCGTCAAATGTGTGTACTAGCTCCACAGTTACTATGGAATGACTGACAGGACACGTGTCTTTAATTATTCAATTTGCTGGATCTATTGTGCAAGACTAATCTCTTTTACATCAGTATAGTATTTTAAGCAAGCTGTATTCATGCACATACTTAATCTGTAATTGAATTACGTTGAATGACGGACAATAAACCATAAACACGTTATTGTATTATTTTTGCAGGTAAATTTACAGCTTGTGGAAAGGACTACGCAACCTGTTCTATTGACATACCATGCAATCAGTAAATCCCAGATGTACTATAATAATTTTCTGATAAACTTTTCTATATCTGTACTTCTTTATTTTATTGTCACATTTCCCACTCACTTAAAAATATAATCCTGATATGAGTACAACAGCTCTGAATAAGGTCCCGAAATTCATTACTGCCAACGTTACAAATTAACACAAAGATTTCGCTTTTCTGATCAGCTGTTCACTTCGAAGCGTGATGGATACTCGTGAAATGAGTTGTACGTGTCTTTCCTTAGTCAATTTTACCTCTATCTAGTATTCGTGCCCCGCGCCCTTGTACATTTTGTCCTACAATTCTGCACTGATCCATACTAGCGAGATCAAAGTTATTTGTATATTTTGTCGATGCGTAATTAAAGATTGCTATGAAATTGTTGTTAGGAGGTGGTTAATTTCAGTGTTAAAAACGAAATCAGATATTCAAAAAATACTCAAAGGTTTTAACTAGCCCCAAATAAATCTCCCAGACAACTATTATTATAGGTGTATACAATTTTTTCCATAACTTTATTCAATTGTGCCACGACAAAACAAACAACTGTTCTCGGTCGCGCTAGTATCGATCAATTCAGTATAAAACCGCGTAAATACGATTTGAACGTGTTGTAATATAATATGTTTTGATTATGTTTAGACCATCTGACAACCCTATACGGCATCTGTTGCCACCACCTCAAACTGTTAGTGCGGCCTTATGCTTACAACTATACACATTTCGACTCCCCATCTTTAAGTGTCAGCGTTACCACACTCTCCGAGACTGTTGTCACAAGTTATGGGATTACATTTTCCATCGTTAAGAAATTCAAACGATATGAAATCTTAGGAATAAATATGAGTGCTTGAGGGATGATGTTTCGTTGGAAGATTGTTGTCATGTTTAATTTGGGCCTTGTGCAGAGTGAGGAGGATATATACAAGGTGTCTGAAAAGCTCCGGAACACCACGATGATTTGTGAACTAATAGTGGTATGAAAAAACTAAGCCCCGCAACTGATCTGAGTTTTCCACAGATATTCAATGATGACCTTGCATTGGAATTTCTTAAAATAGAACTCCCCATTTTTGAACCCTTAAATAAAAAGAGCAGGAAATTTTCAAATATGCGCTCGACCTGATCATAACCATGATGACCTTCAAGGTCATGTGAAGGTCAAGTCGATTTTTGTAGTCAGGGAACAATCCTGGAAGAGCAGTTAAGTTAGTTTATCTCTGAATTACACAGTTTTCTGAATGATCAAGAATTTAAGGTAAACTTGTGCTTGACCTTGTTGATCTAGGCCAAGGTCAAGTTCCAAAAATGGTCAAAGACATATTCGAACATAAAATTGTCCCTTTTCTCCATTTCTGCGTTCAAAAGTATATGGTCCCATTGAAAAGGGTTGACCTTCAAATGACCTTGAGTCATGGTCAAGGTCAGGTAAAAGGTCACCATTGGATATCCGGCGAAATATCATGGAAATAATGTCTCGGAGGTTTCTTAGACGACTACTGGCCTTCAAGTCGTATTACCGTACCTGGGTTTGACCTTGACCATGACCTCCTAAAATCAAATTTATGAATGGTCAATACCATGTTTATACATAGAATTTTCCGCTCTTTTCTTTTATGTTGTCAAAAATACGGAGTTACATTAAAAAAATCTACTTGACCTTCAAATAACCTTGAAGGTCATGGTCAAGGTCAATTTCAAGTTTACCGTTGGACAGCAGGGCAAAATTTCAATCAACTATCAATTTCGGGCTCCGTTTTTTATTAACATTATTAGTACACAAATTATGGTGACATTCTGGAACTTCTCAGACCCTGTGTATGTGTTAAAGTACTTGGTATAATCTATTCATTTATTCATTCCGCGTCAAAACAAAATGAATACTCGATCGTCGCTTCTTTTTGCTTGTCCCTGCCCTACTCAGGCATTTGTGGCCCGCTGACCAATAGAAGCACGCAAATTTAAACGTGGCGCGCTAGTGTTTGTTTTCACGGGGCGTAAATGACATTTCAATACACGATAGCCCCGAACAGATATCCTAGCAGTTGCCGTAGTTGATCGTAGGAATTAGAAACTCAATCAGTGTTGGTCGATGCCAATTCATTAAAAATTGATTCCGATAAGTCGTCTCCATTCCACTTATAACTAATTGAAATGACGACAGTAATCTCGGGTAAGACTTTTATATCACTCATCATTCATCTGTCTACATAAAAAAAACAACTAAATGAGCTGCACGATGTTATCTGGTATATTTCTTTCATCCGTTCATTTTTTAAGCACGTGTACATAACTTGAAATCTGACTAGTACCTCAAGCAGTCATACATAAAATGGAAATGTTCTAATGAATTCTAAAGTTAAGTGAGTGAGGATCGCATTGCTTATGCTCCTTTGTGCATTCTTCCCCAGCGACTATCAAGAAAAAAAATCCGTAGATTTTACTCGCACAACGTATAGGTGGCACCACTAATAAAGTAACCAAATTTCTCAAGCATGCAAGTCGGCTATCAATTTACTTATGCCATCAAAGTTATAAAAGCGACAGTTGAATATTGTCAAATTTCATTTCACAATAGAAAATCAGTTCGTGGATAAAACCATGCCTATAATCTTATTCGGACATCAATTAGTAAGTATACAAATTATTGCGTTTCTCCATATTGTGGTTCAGACGTAATACTGACAAACTGAACAGACATTCACATTTATATACAGGGTGTCCGGAAGGTCGATACCATCCTTTCGAGTCGTGATGTACACCCCATTTGAGATACACTGAGCCACATATACCTTAGTACAAAGTCGAAACGTTATTGAGTTACGCGCTATCATGTGAAATCCTAAGAAAAAGCAAAAATCATTCGCACAAGCGCAGAGCAACTTCTTTGTTCTCTTATTTTTATCAACTACCTTGATGCATGGTTTCTTAAACGAATTATCGAAGTAACGTGTACCCATTATAAAAATGATGTTGGTTTACTAACTGGTTAGATTTTGCAGTGCTTCGTGGCTTTTCGGAAGAATTTATGGAAAAATTTGGCAACAGTTTAATTTAAAATCAATGAAAAAGCTTTCTCCACTTCTGCTCTTGCTTCAGAATATCATAGAAATTACAAAAAAGCATAACATCCGCTTTTCGTGAAGCACATGACAGTGATTAATCATTTATATGATGAATGATTTATATGAAGATATGGCAACTACGCAAATTCAAAATATTGCAAAAACATGAACTTGAGTACTCATAAGTATAATTAACATTTTAAGAATATTACAAGACTTCAGAAGAGTCGTCACATCCTAGAAGTACTAATACAGGGTTTGTCCGGAAAGTAATAGGACTGAGTCGATTTAAAAAAAATTATTGAGCCAATCGCTACAATTCTTTAAAAACTTTCAAAATAGGCTCCTTCTGCGTTGATGCAGCGCTGCCAGCGCCTGCGGAAGCATTGGGATGCCGGCCTTGGTCAGGTAGCTATTCACAAGAAAGGCGGTGTGAGCCGGGGCGTTGTCGTGGTTCAACTTCCAGTCGGCTGCGATGTCTTGTCGGACCCGACTGACCCTTCGTTTGAGACTCCTGAGTACTTCCACGTAAAACTTGGCGTTGACGGTTTGTCCAGGAGGAACAAATTCATGGTTGATGTCAAAAAAGGCAATGAGCATCGTTTTCACTTTGGATTTGCTCATTCATCCCTTTTTTGGGCGAGGAGACGCCGTCGTGTGCCACTCGGAAGATTGCCTCTTTGTCTCGGGATCATACTCAAAGATCCACGACTCGTCACCTGTGATTACGTTATTCAAAAATTGGGGGTCACTTTCACACATGTTCATATTTTCTTGGCACACTTCCACTCGCCGCAATTTCTGGTCGTCAGTGAGCACTTTTGGGACCAACTTCGCGCACACCTTGCGCATGTTCAAATGCTGTGTCACAATGTCATGAACCACAGATTTTGGTAAATTTAACATCTGGGCAATTAAACGTATACTTAGTCGACGGTCTGAGTTCAAAACTTTTCGCACACGAGTCACATTATCTGTGTTTGTCGAAGTCGAAGGTCTTCCAGCACGGTCTTCATCGGCGACCTCTTCCCGGCCCTCCAAAAAGGCCTGGTGCCACCGAAACACACCACTTCTTGCTAAAGCAACACCTGGTTAAGCCTGCTTGATCATATCAAACGTCTCTGTAGCAGATTTACCGAGTTTCACACAGAATTTAATCGCGTACCTCTGCTCTAACGAACGCTGCATTTTCGGCTCGCACCACTCACAGAAACACGTCGCGCGAAAATGCCTGTCCTGACTCTCCACGTGCTCGGAGACAACTGACCAGCCGCTCATTCGTTAGCTAGGAACGCCGTCTACCGAACCCTGTACACCATTTATTTTTATTTGGTAGAAAATATGTTATAACACCACTCCTCAAACCCATTTCTCCTAACAAAGCACTTGAAAGTAACACAATTACTGATTTGCTTATACTTATTATGTGAACCATTATTTGCGATTCATTCCCATGCCCACCCTGATTGCTGTAGTAATTTGTACTAGTGGGTTATAAGGGTTTTCGTTTCCATTTTCTTAAATAATTCATAAATCTTAGAAATCGAATGCTACTTAGAAGTCGTTTCGTCATATAGTTCCTTTGTCTAGGTCCACAGTTAAAAATACGAGTATGAAGCAGTAGTTAGATCTTGTGACTACAGTAGTACGAAGGGCGCGAACATGTATTATAACATGACCATTCCTTATTACAACATAGCAGCGATACATGAGTGTACCATGGTTTTGCGATACTGCGGTCTATCGGTATACGTATTCCATGATCTTCCGAAAACCCTGTATATTGATAGAAGTCAGCTACATATTTTTCACAAAGCCTACGAATTTCAAAAAGTTAAATACGCTACTTACTGGGTTTAATCAAGAAAAACTGTCTACGCTTTTCTATATTTCTTCTTCACATCACAAAGCTAGTATTTTGCTTTACCAGGTGCATAAATGTTTACAGTCCCAGTTTTATAAGATATAACTTGTAAATAAAGAGGTATAAGCAGGATAAACATTATCACAGGACAGACAAGGGGAGATAATTTTTTACATGATATCCCCTCAAGACTTTGCCTTTGCCTACTTTATTTGCTATATTAGTACAGGCAGGTAACGTGCTAGGCTGTGAGTGCAAACATAAAAAAATTCACAGGAACAGCAATTTCTGAGTTTAAGATCTTGTCGTGGAGTAAATCTACCAAGTAAGAATCATCAAAGGCTCTCGAGATTAAGCAACATAGAGGGAAGCTTCATGACAAATTAGGTTGAATTTATTTGGAAAATGTACCCTGAAACACTTTGAAAACCAAGAGAGTCCACCTTTAAACAAATGCCAACTAGGTAGATTTTGCTGTATCATGGCTGTGCTCAATAAAAGAAACCTACCACACCTGCGCTTGACGATCGAAAAAGACCCCCTCAACCCATACAAATGGTGACTCCATGACATATATTACCACTAATAGCTTCAAAATGCTGACTTGATAGAATTTGGATGCTTTGAAATGGAAATCAAACAGATAATATTATGTATTTTCGAACACTATGTACAGGGTGGCATAAGATGAACGTTGTGTTTCGAATTATTTATAACAAGTCACGATTATCACAATTAATTTTTAACATTTTGTGATTTGTTAGAGGAGGCTTGGGGAATCTGATATGCAGCAAACACCCCGGAGCAATGAAACAAAATTTCGTTTTTAATGTATAATGTTCATATTTTAATGAGAGCAGTGGAAAACTATCAAAATCTATTGTTTACAGCAAATGAAAGCATATTTTCAAAATTACAAAATCTACAAAATAAAGCTATGAGAATCATTTTAAATAAAAAACAAATATACTAAGATTAAGTCTATGTTAGAAGAACTGCAGTGGTTGGATGTAAAAAATATAGGTTATTTAGTTCTCATTTTCATATACAAATTGATTAATCATTTATTTCCACCACATTTAGAGAACTTCACAAAATTAAATAGTCATTATCATAACTATGAAACTAGAGGCACTTTAGGTTTTTGTTTACAAAATTGTAATAACTAGCAAATATGTATTTCAAAAGGGAGTATTTAAATTTAATAAATTGACTAATGATATTAATCAGTGTTCGAATTAAAAAATGTTTAATGTGAAAATAAAAAATCACTTTATAAATAGCCAAAATGCATAGTGAAGTAATTTTAGTAGACAAAAATGTAAAATTACAGAAATTTATTCAAAAAATGTGTAACCGAATAACTATACAAAATTGACATTGTAGCATTAGCTAAATAAATCTTCAACAAACTAACAAACAAAATACAGCACACAGCTCAGGGCCCTTATTCTTGAACGAGGGAATAGAATATCTGAGAGAAAGAGGGCCTGGTTCTCTTATCTGTGGAGTGACGGTGTCAAATTCTGACAGATAGTGACATTTGTCAATCATGAAATGGAGGAAATGCAGGTTCGAATCTTGCCGGTGCCCATCTTACCTTTCTCTCTAGTTGTTGTCTACTAAACATACTGATGCGCTTATCCGAAAAATCGTATACAGTTTACTGTCCTCACACGGTGGTACCATGGTGAGCGCCCACGAGACGATCTATTGCAACTAGAAAGGGACTCAAGCAGGCGTAGATCCAGGGGGAAATGATACCATTGCTGCTCCCCAACGTTATTTTTTGTTTGAAAACTTAAACTAAATATGCATTCTGTTCTCACACTGCTGTTTATAATTTCCCTTCTTAATTGCTTTATACGTATAATAACCGCAAACAACTCCCACTACTTGTGCTCACTGACGACCAGAAATTGCGGCGAGTGGAAGTGTGCCAAGAAAATTTGAACATGTGTGAAAGTGACCCCCAATTTTTGAATAAAGTAATCACAGGTGACTAGTCGTGGATCTTTGAGTATGATCCCGAGACAAAGAGGCAATCTTCCGAGTGGCACACGACGGCGTCTCCTCGCTCAAAAAAGGGAGTATGGGCAAATCCAAAGTGAAAACGATGCTCATTGTCTTTTTTGACATCAAATGAATTTGTTCCTCCTGGACAAACCGTCAACGCCAAGTTTTACGTTCAAGTGCTCAGGAGACTCAAACGAAGGGTCAGTCGGGTCCGACAAGACATCGCAG